CAGCATTTCGACAATATATGTTCATACTGAAAGTGGTTCTTCATCGGCTGAGCCTCTGAGCGCTCAGACATCAGAACATTTAACAACAAATAGTTCATCAACATTGAGTTTTCTTTACTGATACTTAACAGAAATGTTCTTGCTAGAAATCACATCCGTATAGACCGGTTGAAAACTATTAAAAGAAATTATGATTTTTCATATATTCAACTTGATAGTCATAGCTATACATTAATCAGACAAAGTGTCAAAATCAATGTTAAATTGTTGATCTTTCAATTTAAAACTATTAAAAGAAGTTATGATTTCAACCGGTTAAATTCGCAAGAGGTACAATTTAAAAATATTCAGCTTGATAGTCCTAGCCATCTTACAATAATAGAAAGGGAATACCCTCAACAACTAGCTATGCCACATAAGTATAAATAATCATCCAATGATAATAAAGTTAAGTGCCACATCAGCTCACCTAGATCTCTTCTTCCTTGCGAATGAATTTCTTCCACTTTGTTAAAACTGATCGTGACTTTACACATTCCTTTCTTATTATCATCCTCTAATTACAATTTTTGTCGTTCTATTTAACAGAGGAATCAAAAAAAAAATCAGTCAATAAAAAAAAAATATAGCCGCTCAGCTCTCAGATCAGAGTTGAAAATGATTAGGTTTTCAATCGACATGGGTTCATCCGATGTAATGAATTCCTCAAAATTAAGGAGAAGATCGCTGCTCCCCAGAAGTTAGTAATCTATTCCCTATTATTTCTCATCAATCTATAGTTTATCTAAAGTGATGAAAAATCAGAAAAAAATACAGAGACCGTTCAAGAAAGGGAGAATCAAAATCCTTCTTATGACCCCTCGAAACTTGGGTATTTCTGCTGTTGCTCCTCCTAGAGCTGTCGTAAAAAAATCGGTGAACACTCACGTTTCCCTTTCTCTGTTACATATTTCTATTTTTTTATTCTTCTCTAACTTTTTTATTTTGTGTTTCGGTAGTGCTGTTGACGCATTTAAGCTCTCTATTGAGAACATCACGTCTTTTGGAGGTTTGAAAAAATAGAAGAAGACATCCTGGTTCACAAGAAAGAACTCTCTACAGGATTTTTACAAAACATCTAGCTTTCCCTTTCTAACGTAAAAATAAGAAGTAGCTTAGTAATCTTTATGCTGAAGCTTCCACTTATCAGGTTTGTTCAATTTGTTAGTGGTCTAGAACTTTTGGAAATAATCAAATACATTTGATTTGGAGATTTCCCATGTGGAAGCAGCTCGGACACTATTCTCACGGTCTGTTAAACTTTCTCATTTGTTCCATCAAATTTTTACGTTTACTGTACCAAACTTGATCTTAGATTTCTTTTCCATGTTTCAAATGATGGAGGTGTGACGGATACAGCAAAGTAATTAAGTAAATCTCTCTGCTTTTATTTTGGGGGGGTTGAAGCGTGTGTTGAAAGAGTGTTTTGCTGATTGGCTTTTCTTTATGTATATATATACTGGAAGGAGTTCTTAAGAGATACAAATTTAAGACTTGAGGCTATTAAAAAGAACTATACCACAGAGATTTCTCATGCTTCAACTAATGGTTTTGATCTTCACAATGTTTCTCATCTCCAACATTTTGCTGATACATTTGGTGCACAAGTTTTGAGTTGAGTGCTTCCTTTATCTTTGTGTTTTACTTTCTTGCACTTCTGTGTTAAATTTTTTAATCTAAACATAGTTTTCTTATCAGACATTATATTTTACTAGAGTTTAACTCGCCATATGGGCGGGGTGGGTGATCAAAAAAAAATATAAATATTTATTTTAATCTTAACTAAAATATTAATAGCTTTCATATTTTAACTATAATTTTAATATTTGTTTTATTATTATATTTACAAACCATATATTTGTTTCACCACTAAAAATCATGAAAATATAATTATTTTACTCTTTCAGTATTTTCTACTTGGGTTTTAATAGTAAGCATAGTGAACTATCTTAAAACAATGGTGATTATAAAATGTAGTACTTGATAAATTTATAAATATGATAAATTAATAAATCTATTTAGTCCCAAGTTAGACCGGTTTAATATATGACACAAATCGATAAAATAATAAGATAATACTTAAAACAAAAATCTAAAAAAAATATATATAATCCTGTCAAAATCTTAATTAATAATTTATATATATATATATATATAAATTATATATATAAAAAATATTGTATTAATTTTCTATATTCACAATGAAATTCAGTTCTATTTTTCTTAATATTTCAATATATATTGATAATATTTGGTAACATTATATCAAAATCCTCATTTAAATTCTATGAAACATATTTCATATACAACAAATAATATAATAAAAGCAATATGAAAGTCAATCTTAAAAATTTCCTTTCTGTATATACAATATAATCAATTATTTTTTCTTATTTTATAAAAGCATAAATTTTAGAAATACATAAAATAAACTTTTATAAATTAATACCTCTATAAATTAATAGTATCTGTTTTAGTGAAGTTATAGAGGTTTAAGATATTTTTCATAGCATTTTAGAAAGTAAAATATTTATCAAATATATGTAGATATATTAATTGAATATTTTTGTAAAGCAACATATTAATTGTATCTAACTCGTGGACCATTGTTATTCTAAAAATAATACTTTAAATATAAGTATATCTATGTAAATATATTAGCCTTACCCTATTTAACGGTTTTTATCTTCCCATATGCATTTATTTGAAAGAGAGAATGATTATGATCTAATTGCTTTTTTATCATAGTTTTTAATTTTGATGAAAAATAATTGTTAAAATCACAACTGATTAAACTTTCTAAAGTTTTTTATAATGCTTGGCTTTTAGTAATACGCAAGTGAATAAATATATATCAGACAGTGATATACAACATGATTGATGATGTTTTCCAGAATCATGTCGTTATTTTAACCAATTCTACAGCTTTGTGCTCTTATTAATTCAGTGAGTGATAGTTAAAAGTGATAACAGAGGAGACACTTGAGCAATCCATTCTCTACACCTCTTTTTAGCTCCGCTTGAGACTTTCTGGTCTCATTGTAGCATAATCATAGGTGTCATTGGGATTGGTGTGCTGTTGATGAGCTTCTAAATTAAAACTGAGGACTCCAGTGTTGGTCTATATTCTCTGACCGATCCTTGCAGCCTCTAAAACCTCGGAGATTGTGATGTGATGATAATGAGAGGATAAGCTTTTGTTCTTGCTGCTTCCTGCAACCTCGGGTACAGTCCTCAAAGTCACATGGACAGTCCTCTATCTCTGATAGGCTTTGCAAAAATGGCTGGTTTATGTTGTAATAACAGATCTTAATGTCCATGCTCTTGCATCTTGGACATGGCTAAGGCTTGGTTTCTTCCGAGTTGGACAGTATGGTCTGTTGATTGTTCTCGTCACTCACTCTCTCTCTCTCTCTCTCTCTCTCTCTGCTCTGTTGATGTCGCCTCCCCTTTGTCCCCTGTTTCTGGTTTGGAATTATTTGGAGTGCTTAGACTCTTATCGTAACAGTTCTTCTCCTTATTCTCTGCTCACTCTAGAATTACTTGCTCTGTACTTACCTGAGAGAGGGGTAACATAAAAATTTTAACCTAAGAACACTCGCAATAGTCTATAATGATTTCAACAGCTACACAAAGAAGATGTGGTTTCTCAACTATGCTCAACGGGAAGCCCAAAGAGAAACAAAGGTTTTGTAGAAGGCAATCTAAGAGAACATAATCAAGAAGACACAATACACGAATAAACACAGAAACAAAAAAAAAACGGTGATCAGACTTACAAATCTAACACTGACCAAGAGGGAGTAGATGAATGTGCTTGACATGTAAGAGACTTGGAAGCTACAGGTATAATTAAACTTGTGGGACATGAATTTGGGGATTGAAGAATCCAAACAAACAAAAAAGCGGAAATAAAAACCCAGAAACTGAAAAAAATAAAATAAATCTGAAGTTTTCATGCCTTACAACGCATGCCAATCCAGCGAAATTTCCAGAAACGTCGATTTACTGAGACATGAAACGATAAGAAAAATAAATTAGGATTTGGAGAAATGAGGAAGGCAAGGTCGAATCGACGAGTATCAGGTAAGAGGCTTCGACTTTTTATGGGCTTCCTTGCCCATTCGTATAACACGACAGATTTTAAAAGAAAGTCAAAGCCCAACATAGGCAAACCATAGCTTACGTGGCAAAACGTTATAACATGATTGGGTGATTTTCCCATCTCACGTGGACAGTCTATATGAGGCTCTTATTCTCCTTTTAATACTTGTTTGATTATGGCAAAGAAGACGAGAGTCACCAGACACTATCTTAGTTTTATTTTCCATGTTTCAGATGATGGAGGCGTGACTGATGAAACAGACATCAGTCAACTTTGGGGGTAGTAAGAATGATGAAGAGAAGACAAATAATAAGAGTTTGGGTGAATCTTCTACTGTTAAACCCTTGATTCGATTATTTTTTATATTCAATCTCATAGGAGCACCCTGAGTGGGAAGTGAAGGAAAGGTTTGTTGTGTAGCCAAAGAAACTGCACCTTGCAAAGAGATTCCTTCTCTGCAGCTCATCAACCAGACTCTAAACTATGCCAGAGAGCTGGAGTGTATCGTGTAAGGTGGACTTTTACTGAATTCTCTTCTATTCCCTTTTGTTCCTTAAAAAAATATCTCAGGTCATAAAACTTTGTTATCATGTAATGACTGATTTGAAGAGACTCAGTACTTGTCTTTGGTTAATTGGGTTTGGTAAAATGAGATTCCCTCTTATGTTATTATGTTGTTCAATGTTCACTTCTTATCATTTTTGCTTCTTTCTCCTCATCTCTTTGATGCGTTTTGTGTTGTTCAAATCCAGGCTTAGACATTCTTAGGTTGGTTAAGTTTGCATTAGTTTGGTCTTTTAGCTCTGGTTTGATTTAGGCTAAGATTGAACATGTAAGAAGGTAGATTGGCCAGAGCAGGATTGTCGATAGCCAAACATTTATCAAGTGGGGATTACGTTGCAAGCATTTCTTCTGTTGCGGGGTTAACAATTAATTTAACAAGTAGCAATTTCAATCCTGTAGTCCTTAAACTCTTTCTATGGTAAAAACACTTATTCAAACCCTTAGTAATGTTTCTTAAAATAGAAAGCTTTTATTCATAAACATGTAAGGATGTATGTATATGCAGCCTAGGAGCTTTGATCGTATGAAGCTACATCACTCTCCCTTTGTACGCCCTGGTGAGTCAGGTAATTTGTTAACCACGTGTTCGATATTTTAGCCATGTTACTCTTGAATGTTGAAACGATGAAATGATAAAAATGTTGTGTTGATGTGTGAGAGCAGATGGGTTCACACATGAAGAAAGCAGCGTCTGATGAACAAATGGCAAAGGCATTGAAGAAGTGGCACAAAAATATCAAAACGAAGAAAAGAAAAGCAAGGAAGCTCCCAAACAAGACACTTGGTGGTTTGGGGAGTTTCAGCATCTTACCCTCTTCCTCTGGAAACACTTTACACCGTTCCAATACCACTGGTCACACTTCTAACGCCATATACTACAAACAACAAGAAGAAGAAGACAAGGAGATATCTGATCTTGAAGTTGGTGCAGAGGATGCTACTGAAAGGTTTCAAGAACAGCATAAGCCATTCCACCACTCCTAGCTAGCAATTTTATAATAATAAGAGGATAGAAAAACTCGTTGTTCGATATCTTTTTCTTTAAAGAATCAGATTTAATGGAAAACGAGAAATGTTAGACATTTAAGTAAACTCTCCCCACTACATGGACGAAATACCATTAATTAAAATAATTTTGTTGACTAATCCTGTATTGCAAAAATGGCTTAATTAGTAATGAAATACTGCAGCAGTTGAAAGTGGTTGGGTGGTTTCTAACTTTTTACCATCAATTTCTAAAAAGAGATTTCTTTTAAATGTTGTTTTCTATTGGTCCATTATTGCTTTATGTTATCATAATTATTTAGGAAGAATAAATATTTTTTTTTTAAAAAGGAATAATTATAAAGAGATATATGATTCTGTTTTTTTAATAGTGTTTAGTAGAGATGGCAATTGGGCTCTCCCGTCCCGTCCCGTCCCGTCCCGCTGCGGGTTTGTCTTTTTGCGGGTCACGGCGGGCCTGTCCCGCGCGGGATGCGGTCCTGAATATAGCTACCCAATCCCGTACCGCCAGTCCTTCCAAGCCTTTGCGGGTCATCCCGCGGTACATCGAATGTTACACCTTCTCCCTGCGAGCCAAACATAATCATAAAAAACAAAAAAATTTGAGATAAGATAAATAATATTACAATATTTATGAACTACTACTCGTTTGTTTACTGTATACATATAATTTATCTCACTGCTAGTCACTCGAAAATGAGTTTATGATCTATTACTCATTTGTTAATCACTCGAAGATAAATAATATTACAATAGTTATGATCTACTGCTCGTGTGTTTACTGTATACATTGCTCCATAATTAATTATTTCCCTGCAAGCCAATCTATACTCTCTCTAGCCAATGTTTCATGTTATTTTGACCAGAATACCAATGTAATAAAACAAAAAACCAAAACACAAAATCATAGATTCATGGTCTCTTTCTTGTTGGTAGCAAAATAATGTATAAAAGTTTCAGAAATAAATAAAACCAAATCAAAACACCAAATCAAAACACCAAAACAAACAAATCACACTTCTTGTTCTTCAACTTCATCACCAACAATCGATTCAAATGATGGAAGCTTCTCTTCTTTACCATCAACTTCATCTTCTGCAAGTAAGAATACATGAA